AATTTATTGACGAAGTCATGTCGCCAATGTGGGGGGGATGTTGCTTACAAGGGAAGGATGGTAGGTCGAAGTGGCCATTTGAAATGAAAGTATACCAACTGGAAGGTCTTTGACGGGTATTACGAAACCGTCTTCCATATCTGCTGCGGACCACCCAGAAAGAAGTTTACGGAGCTTTGTAGAGGGAAAAATACACTACGTATTGGCGGCGTAAGGCTGACAACGCGTGGCAGCATGGCCGAGTGGGTAGGTCGTTCGTAGGGCACGGATGCGCGGATAGAGGGTTTGGATCCTTGATTGCGTGTGCCCTTTCGCATTTTTTTCGAAAAGTGGCTCCCATGTGCACTTTCAAAGCTATTTTGCATAACACGTTGATCCGTGATAATTCGTGACGTAATGACTCTGAAACTGATGGAGCCAACTGCGACGTTCTGGAGATTCCTCCGGGTGAAAAGATTGTCATACGAGCCGAAAACTTCCAGCGTAGTAACAGAAAACCTTTGCGATAGCATAATTACATAACAAAAAGAAGAGAAGAAGACAACAGCCAGAAAGTGGGCACTATTGAACCCTACCCCAAATACTCAAAAAAATTTTTTCGCCTGAAACTTTGCCTATAGATGTAAGTGCAATGCGCTGATCACGAGAATATAACATCCGTTTCGACCGCTGGCGTCATTTGGCGCCCACCACTTTTTTCACCAAAGCTTATGAAAACTTGCATATGGGGTCGTTGAGTCCTGATACGAATATCACAGGTTCCGGGCGCCTGGACTCATCAGCGCCAATATAGCGCCGAATTGCGCGTAATGGCACCAATAGCGCCAGCGCCAAAATAAATGCTGGATTCGTAATCAGGACCTCAATTAACTACCCCCATAAGCAGGTTTTCATCGACTTTGCGTGAAAAAAGAGTGTGGGCCGAAATCAGCGCGAAGGCGCCAAATGACGTCAGCGGTCGAAAACGGATTTTATATTCTTAATCAGCGCCTGTTAAATTCATCTATAGGCAACGTTTCAGCGAAAAAAAATATTTTGAGTTTCTGGGGCAGGAATAGTTCAATAGCACCCACAAGGCGATCTCTGGGAATGCGTTCGCAGTGCCTCCATCAGTTCGAGAGTCATTACGTCACGACATTATCACGGACAAGTGTTATGCAAAATAGCTTTGAAGTGCACAGAGACCACTTTCGAAAAAATGCGAAAGGGCACACGCATCAAGGATCAAAACCCTCTACGCGCGCATCGCGAGCCCTACGACGTACCCACTCGGCCATGCTGCACGGCGTGTCAGCCTTACGCGCCAATACGTAGTGTATTTTCCACTACAAAAGCTCCGTAACTTCTTTCTGGGTCGTCCGCAGCAGATATGGAAAAGACGGTTTCGTAATCCCGTCCAAAGACCTTCCATGGTATACGTTTCATTTCAAATGGCCACTTCGACCTACCATCCTTCCCTTGTAAGCAACATCCCCTCCACATTTGGCGACTTGACTTCGTCAATTAAATTCCGAGCAATGTGCGCCACGCCTTCATGCAGTGCAGAGCCCCAGAACAAATGGATCTGGAAGAGGACAGAACGGAGTCAGGGGTGACTTTTGATAAGAGTTAGGACAACATCGCTAACGAAATCATATCGCGAAATAGCTACAATAGCTGTGAAGTGCGATAATGAGTCAGCCAAAGACTGTGTACGGCCGTAAAGCGGAACTCAGTCGGTGTCAGCGTAAATGAACAAAGCGCGTAGTAAAAAGAGAGTGCGGGATTCTGAAAAAATGCGCGACCTCTATGGGCCGCAGACTTGCTAACGGAATAATTAATCTTTTGCGAACAGCACATATCTCGGAGGCCGAACAACTGAGCAGTTATTTAGTGACTTTGAAGACATGAAGGTGATAAAATTGCCCATCTTAAAAGACACACGGTACGCTCAAACACATTGAGGGTGTTACACGCCAAAAACTGCCACGGGGTCAGAGTACGGGGCCGTGGGAAAGTCGTTATTCCTTGCTACACCGCCCTCACGTTTATGCTAACAACTCCATCGCGCCAGCGCGGTCGCGTGCAGCTCTCGCTTTTTGCCAGGTCCTGTAATTGCGGCTTTGGAATACAAGTTACAACGCCAATTCTTTATAGCGGATAACATTTTAGGGTTCCAAAATAAAGAACTGAAGATGGTGACGGGGGCTAGAACTCAAGATAAATCGTGGTGCTCCTGCAATATCCCTCAGAGGCCGCGCATTCCCAGAGAACATGACAATAAAAACGGACAATATGACAATAAAACATGACAGTACAAGCAAAACGCAATTTTCTAACATTTGAGGTATTGCTCATGCTTCAAAGTCCGATCCAAATAGAGGGTGATGAAGATGACAAAGGCTAGAAAAAACAACAGCGAATGTAGATGTAAATAAAACAACATTGAAAAAACTAAGGAAACTCAATAAATTAAAATCGCTTGTGTATTTCTGCGATACGGCTCGAATCCGGCTCTGATGCTATAGAAATACTTCAAACTAACGAGTGGGACGCTTAGACCGTTTTTATTTTGATGTTTTGTGGGAATGCGCGGCGTGCGAGGGCTGTTGCAGAAGCAGCACAGTTGCTCTTGAGTTCTAGCCCTCGTCATCATCTTCAGTTCCTATTTTGCAGAACCTAAAATGGTATCCGCATAAAGAAATTGCGTTGTACTTGTATTCCGAAGCGCAATTACAGGACCAGGCAAAAAGCCAAGAGAGCGCGACGCGATCGCGCCGCGCGGACGGTGTTAGTAAAAACGTGAGTTTGCAAAAAACGGGCGGCGTAGCAAGGAATTACGACTTTCCCACGGTCCCGTTCTCTGACCCCGTGCAGTTTTGGGCGGGAGACCAACAGCAGGGGGCTGATAGTCTCATACATCCTCAAAGTGTTTGACCATGTGTCTTCAAAGGTTAGGCTGTGCCACAAATCCGATAGTCGATACAATTGACGAGGATCTCCGTACCTACGAAACTAACTCTTTTATGCGGTATAGTACGTCAGAAAGAATCGTAGGTGGAAAGCCTACGCAAAGGAGTTGAAAATTCGGGCAACTCGTTAAGGGCGGCAAGCGAGTAAGGCGGAAGCGTCGCGCCTGTAGTCGCTAACGAAGGTAGCGAATCGAGTACTTCTTGCAACATACAGCGAAATTTTATGCCCGATTTCGCAATTCAGAAATCTCAACCATCGACCTGGATGCGATCGACCCAAGAATACTCAAGGACATTGCCGAACGAATGCTCAAGGAGCAAAACTCAAAATTCGACCTTCATCGGACACAGGAGTAGACCAAATTTCTGAGTTTTCTATACGTGATTATAAACGAACTGTAGCACTACCGGATGTTCCACCTTATGGAGGTAGACCTCATGAGTATTTCCAAAGTTTTTTATCTTCCTTCGACATTGAGTATCCGAGAAATAAGTGAAGAGATTCAAGTTCGTTGAGTTATTTCAAAGTTTCTTACGTGAAGATGCGCTCACTATATTCGAAACCTTGCCGGTAGAGGTACGCGAGGGATCGTTCGACGATATTGTTGAGGCAATGAAAAGCGCATGCGCGTAGATGGAAACACCGAAAGGGTTAAGGCTTCAGCTGATTCGAGAAAGCCAACCCTAAGAGATGATCAGTCAATGGACAAATTTTCTTTGATCTTAGAACCTTTGGCAAACAAAGCATTCCAGACGTGACACAAGAAGTGACTGCGCTACAGAGAGCGGAAATTCTGAGCACGCAGCTTGCAAACTGGAATGGTAGCTATTGCTTAATAAAAGCTTTAGAAATCAACGCAGCTGCAGAAGTCTATGGCAAGGTGATGGAGTCCACACTGCGGTTGGAGAGGAGTATTAGAGCCGCAGCAGAATGCAGAAACTACAAAGCTAATAGGTCGAAGCAGCGATTTAAGTCGAATTTCGGCAGTGTAGGGACGAATCAAGGTCTTCTTAAATCCTCAACAAGCACGAATCAGAGACAAACGCGGAAAGCAAGCAAGAAACAGCAGATCCAATTAGTGGGCAAGTGAGCAGAAGCGTGAGCAGAAATGGTACAACTGTGGAAAATCAGGGTATTTCGCCAAAGACCGCTGGCTGCCAGATCCGCAGAAAAAGACACCTACATCCACAGAGCAAATAGGAAGGCCATCGGGAGCCCTACGCGTCGCGCGCGTTGAAAAGTGGATGTTGGATGTGCTCGGCAGACTGGAGGATTGACGAAGGGTCAAGTGATTATTTCGGTAAAAGATCAGTAATGGGAATTACCATTTTTCGGCGGCAGAAGCGCTTTACGGCAGGAGCGCTTTTGGATACGGATCGCAAGCGACCATAATCCTTTTGAAGCTGCTTGAATAGGCTATAGACTCAGGAGTAAACCTCGACAACTGCGTCGAGCGGATACCTTCTCCAAAGTCAAGGTAAGAGACGCCTTTGAAAGGTGCGTAAAGTTTCTTGATACTATCAGGGTGTCCATCATCTTAAATGGAGAGGAGGAATCAATTCCTGTGTACGTTGAGGAGCTTCAACAATATAGCAATTTTAGGAACCAACGCACTAGAACGCTTCAATATGAAATTAGTTTGGGATGTCGAAGAAAAGCAGGTACAGCGTTCAAATTAGCAAGATGCAAATAGCGAAAGCAAGGACGATGGAGTGAAGCGGAGGTGGAACGGAGAATCTTCATCTCTCCAGAAGCGACGGAACTTTTGTCGGTAATGTGCGCTCATACTATCAGACGGCTCTCTTCTTGGCAGAACATCCACTCTTGATGGACGGAATTCGCCACTTCGAAGAGAATGAGGCGACTTTTTCAGTGAACATTGACACTGAACACGGCGTAGTGTTCGGGGAAGGACAGACCGTTGGAGAGTGGAAGAACAGAAATGGGTAAAGCCTAAACATGTTGAGCAAAGTAGGAGCATGGTAGGCATTGATAAACCCAGATAATGGAGTTCTCAGAAGGATCGTTTTTCAGAAATACTGGAAATAATGTCTGAATTTGAAGATGTTTTCGTTGTGGCAGATTCGGAATTGAGTCAGACCAAGCTGGTAGTCTACGACATCGACACCGGCAGAGCAAAAGCCCATAAAACAAGACGAGGCCAGTCCTAGTAGCAGTGCGCAAAGAGGTCAAAGGACTGATGAAATACTCGGCAATCGTGGTATAGTTGAGCATAGTTCGTCTTAAGAGGCTTCACCTGACCTAGTGCTTATCAAGAAGAAAGACGGATCTCCCAGAACCTGAATTGACTAAAGAGAACAAAACAAGATCACTCGACATGATTCATACCCACTTCCAAAGATTGACACAGTACTACAGTGTAAGCGGGAAGAAGGTATTGTCCTCAATGGATTTAGCTTCCAGGTACTGGCGAATCCGCTCTCGGAAGAAGCAAATAGGAAAAGTGCTTCAACGACAAGTGAGGGGCTATATCAGTTTACCGTGTGGCCATTTGGGCTATTGACCAATTCAACAGTCTTCCAGCGAGTGATGGATATGGTTTTGAAAGGGTTAACCCTGGAGGAAGACGTGTTCTTATATACAGTGAGGGCCAATGGAAAAAAGTCACTTCTCTTTCTTGACATTCGAGTCGCTATAAGTTGCACTTTATTGACTTTTGATCGGACATTTCCACTACCACCTTGAAGAGCATATTAAATACTATTATGACACTCCGCCACAGCCTTCGGGACAAGCGCCATCGTGAGATTCTGGCACGCGACCGCGATGTGGCGCTTGAGATCAGCGAGATTGTCGACTTCTCCGCCACCGTAGACCACCCTATTGAAATCCACCCGAACCGGATAATTGAAGGAGTTTAGGTCAGATGACCTACTTAAATATTCCATCTCCTTTCGGTACTCAACGCCTTTCCATTCAGTAGGCGAAGAGTTATTCCAAAGCCCTCCGATTCCATGTGGTGGCACCCAATGCTGTAGCAGTACAAAGTTTCCAAGGAAGTACGGGCGACGACATGTGGGGAGGATATTCTTCTAGAGTTGCTCGATTTAACCGCCAGCACTCACCTTCAGTCCGGAGTCCACGGAGAAAATATAGGTCTTTCCATACCGGGTACGTCCGGCCCATACCATCAACCCGTGCCTTTGCGACTGTGGTGAAAATGATTTCCTGGGCCGTAGCGACGTTGTCGGAGCTTTTCGATTTTGGAGTTCTCCCAGATCGAGAGTACTGGTCTCCAGGTAGCTATCCATGGGTGGCTCCATCCCAGAAGTTTCGCAGCTTGGAGGTGACGTGACTCTCAAAGTCTTCTCCAGTCAGACTGCACTGGAGATGACTTCATATTTTGGCGTATGGAGCTGATGAGCAAAAGCCGGCAAGTGTCCTGCTTATCGAAGGAGATCTTGGGTATCTTCTGCCCTGGTACTCGTGTCCACGTCCTCTGTCTGGGCTGCGGAAAATCTGCTGATATATGACTCTAGCGAAGTGAATTTATTTTTGCCCCACCCCCTTTTGTATAGATGATATTCTGATCGTCACAGATACACTGTAACCAATTATTTGGTTTCAGAACGGTTTTGGGAGCGCTCAGTAAGGTGAATCTGGTGAAAAGTAAAGAGGTTTGTCGAATACCGCCACCTAAAAGCGTGGCAGTATTGAGAACGACTCTCGGAATGGCGTGTTATTACAGAAAATTCATGCGGGATTTTCCAAACTAACTAAATGTCGACACAGCTTGACGCGTCCCAAAAACGCATGGAAGTGGACGAACGAAGAGTTAGCCAGCTTAATCTTTGAACAGAGCATTGACTGCCGCTCCAGTGCTGGCGCAACAAAGTATGAATGCAGCGGAAATGGAACAAGGAGACCATTCGGTATACACATGCGTCCAAAGATGGTGTAGGGGCAGTATTAAGTCTAGCAGTCGGCTCGCCGGCTGACGCCGGCGCGTCTACTTCTGTGATACGGCCCGGATACGCCTGCCAGGCGCGGCTTTGCCCGCGTACCTTCTTTCACATATTCCTGGACTGAATCCTCTTGTCCCTGATGCCAATGCTGCTCGGCAACCGAGTCGTGAATTGTTGACTCTCTCTTCGCACACTTCGGTGCATGCTCCTCCAGCAATGTGAGTGTCTACCTCACTTCAGCAGTTCAGCTCCCGTACATCTAAGCTCACATGTTGGTGATGTCTGGAGTGCTCCGGAATCGTTTTACAGACTTTTTGTCTAGCTCTGCCCGAAGGGACAGGCTCCCCCACAACATGCGTGCCCCATATTTATTGACGACGGCGACCCATCGTTTACCTTAATACACTTTTTTCCAGGGTCTGGAGCGCTCTGAAACTGTTTGACAGACTTTTTTTCTGGCTCCGGCCACGTCGGAACAGGCTCCGCCCACAACATGTGTGCCCCGCATTTCTTGACCGGCGACCCTTCGATGACCTTAATACACTTTTTTTCCAGGGTCTGGAGCGCTCTGAAACTGTTTGACAGACTTTTTTTCTGGCTCCGGCCACGTCGGAACAGGCACCGTCCACAACATGTGTGCCCCGCATTTCTTAACCGGCGACCCTTCGATGACCTTAACACGTTGACGGCATTATGAGCCACCGGTGGCTCATAAGTGAGTGGCCACGTAGGACAATTTGAGCCACCGGTGGAGCAATTTGAGCCATAACTTTCTCCATCACTGTTCGGGTCATTGCCGCCTGTCTCAATCGATCTTTTTCTTGCTTTCGGATAACCTGTGAAAGGTGAATGTACAATAGGGATAAGCAAGAGAAATGTTGCTGCCTCCATGGGATACTTTGAATTGAAAATTGAAAATTTTTAACTAGCTACTGCTACGGCAGAAACCTCCAAAATAGTTCTTTTTGAACGGAACCTTGGCTGCAGAGAATGCGGGGGCTCTAATCATGAACGTGAGATGTCGTCGGCGCCACATGGCGCCAGATCTTATTTGTCGTTGGCAGAAAATTTTTAGGAACAGAAATTATGGCACACATTTTGGAAGTCACGATCGCGCTAAAAAGTGGGCGTGATCGCAGAGGGCGCGGCATGAGATGGCTTCCACTAGGGTCAAGGATGGCTGAAATAGCAGTCCCTGCACGATTGACTAATCATTCTGCGAAACTTGACATAGTGGCAAAAAAGGGGTCCACGAGGGACAATATGAGCCACCGATGGCTCAAAGCGGACGCATGCCAAAGCACGCTATTGTCCCACGCGGCGCTTTCCCGCAAAGCGCGATTGCCGTCAACGTGTTAATACACTTTTTCCCGGTGTCTGGAGCGCTCTGAAGCGTCTCACAGACTTTTTGTCTAGCCCCGCCCACCTCGGAGCAGGCCCCGCCCACAACATGTGTGCCCCATACTTCTCAATCGGCCAGCCTCCGCCGACCTTAATCCTCGTTTTCCCGATATCTGGAATGTTCTGGAACCAAGCCACAAACTTTTGAAATGAGTATCCTGCGGTTGGCTAGCTCCTCCCACTGTGGGCGGTCTCAACACACTTCAAGTATGCCCAACACTCGCCAAATATTGTCCTTCTGCATCGAGTTTTTTTTGCAATTTCTGAACACTCGCTAACCGAGTTAATGTATTTTGCGGGAAGCACCGTTCATCGTAAGTACGCCCTGCCCTTTTTGGGTGTGTCTCTCCCAGTTAGTCTGGCACCCCCTTGCTAACATTATTCCACTTATCTCCCATCGCTGGACTGCTGCGAAAGCGAATCATAAATTTCGTTCGCGGTACCGCCAAGTTTCGGTGCATATTTCGCCCACTGTGGGCGGGGGGACGCATAGGTCAAGTGTGCTCTTTACTTATTGTCCCATGCGTTACCCATGACTACCTTGACCCGACCTCTCCGATTCGTTCTTCAGATAGAACCGAATTTCCGGACAGACAGACAAACAAACAGACGAAGCAAATTATGTATAGTGAGTGATGAAAGACGACCAGCTCCTCTACCCTATATTTTCGCTTCGAAGAGCCTTACAGAAGCAGAACAGTACTACTATATGTCGGACTTGGAGGCACTAGCAGTGGTGTTTGCTCTAAAGTAGTTCCATTTCTTGTCTACGTACTGAATGTAGTGGTTCAAACAGGTCACCAATTACTTCCATGTCTGTTCAAAAGCGCAAGCATCTCGGCAAGAGTTTTGGTGTGGGTCCTGGAAGTCCAGAACTATATCGCCTGAAAATAGAATATGTGGCAGGGAAAGCCAACGCAGTGGCAGATGCCCTATCGTGGCAGATGCGCTGTAAGTGGCAGATGCGCTGTAAGTTTACCAGAGAGCAACGACTCCTGTAAAAATCGGAATGCCAGTGCAGTTATCTGCGAGGTGGCAGCACAAGACAGTGAATTCGAAGAACTGAGAGACGATGACGATTATAGGGAGATCCTCTATGGTATTGACGTAGGCAACGATTACCAAGACGTGAAACTGCCCAGATGTTCCCGGGAAATTCGAGTGCCCGAATTTCTTGTAGATGATGGGGATCAAAGCTGCTACTGGAAAAATCAATGGTAAAGGTGGTGCCTAATTCAAAAAGAACGGAGTTGTTTGATAAGGTGCACAGAGATCTGCTAGCAGACACCTCAATGCTCGCAAGATGTACCGTAAGCTTAAGAAAATTGTTCTGGGAAGGCATGGAAGCTGACATCTTAATGCGTTGAGGAATGTTCAACTTGTTTTCTTCTCGCGCTCACGAAATGCAGATACCACCATTGAAACCATTCACTAGAAATCTCCGTATGAGTTGATTGGGATAGACTTCGTAGGGTAGGGTGTGACAGAGAGAGGGGACAAATATACCTTGGTATTTATAGACCATTTTTCGAAGTTCGCTGGCGCCTGTGCTATTCCATACAAAACAGCGAAGGCAGTAGCTTGAGTGTTTTTTGAGCGGTGGACTGGGAAGCTTGTAAATGGCTTAAACTCATCCATTCTGACCAAGGTCCGAAAATCATCAATTCCGTCTTGTCGGGTATATTCGAGATCACGGGGATTGAGCAGTAAATAACAAAAGGCTATAATCTCGGAGAAAACAGGATGACAGAGAGTGAATGGCCCGCTGAGTAGAGTGCTAAAGAAAAAAAAACTATCATCTCCGCTGATTGGGATCTACTTCTTCCCATGGCAGTTTTTGCTTACAACTCGACCCCCCATGATGCAAAGGCCCGTTTTACCTTCTACATGCCATCGATCCCAACTACTCTTCCTATGTAATACCTCAAGACAAGTTGAATTTCAACCACACTGGCGCTGATGACAGCCAGTACGGGTTACTGGTAAGGATTCGATTAGCTCAAGAATGCGCTGTTGAACTAAACGAAAAATACAAACGAATAGAAGAGGTTGATGATAAGCGTCATAAAATAGATCCAGATCACCTCTGCTCCCGTTGATCATCGAGTTCCTCGAGCGGGCGCCAGTGACGTCTCCATTCGTCCCTGCAACGTGCAAGAGTTGCCCAATGGACTCTCTCTGCTCGAGGGACACGATGAACTTCTTACCATTCGTTCAGAGCTTTCACGAAGAAGTCTGACCATCGCATAGGCGGTCGTCCAAGCGTTCGCTTGACATCCCGTGTCCAGTCGGTGAATGCTCTGGTCCAGCGGTCGTCAACGCATGACGTGCCCGCTCCACCCAATCTTCGAAACCTTGGAAAATGCGGCGGCGTCTCTGATCTTCGATCGTCGGCGGAGTGCGGAGCTTCGATTTCCTCTCTCACTTGCGTGTAGCGGGAAACTCCGAGCATCGCCCTTTCAATGGCGCGTTGAATAACCCAACCGCATGTTCATCCTGCTTTCGTAGAGTCCAAGTCTCTGAGGCGTACGTCAAGGCAGGAAGGACCGCGGAATCGAAGAGGTAGGCACGGAGCTTGCTGTTTTTCGTCTTCTTCGCTACTCCCTCGATGTTCTTGAAGGCTCCCGAAGCCGATCGCTTCCTCCTGCCCAGCTCTGGTGCTAAGTCGTTCATCATACTGATTTCACCTAGGTACACATGGCTAGAGCATTCAGAGATGGTCGTTCCGTTGAGCGTGAATGGGGCATCAGAAAGCAATCCGTTTTTCATAAATATCGTCTTCGTCAGATTCAGCCGTAGAGCGATTTTTCCACACGCGCAGTCGAAATCAGCCAGCATACGTTCCGCTTGCTCGATGTTTGGTGTTATCAAGACGATGTCGTCAGCAAAGCGTAGATGGTTTAGTTGCCGACCGTCGATCTTTACTCCCATGTCTTCCTCCAGTTGACGCATGACGTTTTCGAGAGAGGCGCTGAAGAGCTTGGGCGAGATGGTGTCGCCCTGTCGGACCCCTCTCTTCACATCGATGATGATCTCCTTGTAGAATGGTGAGATCTTGGTCGTGAAGTTGCTGTAGAGCTCACGAAGAATCCTGGTGTACTGAGTAGGGATACCCTGGTTGCCCAGAGCTTCGATAACCGCTTCTGTCTCAACGTAGTCTAAGGCTTTCTTCAAGTCGATGAACGTGAGACATAACGGCATCTTGTACTCGCGCGATACCTTGATGAGCTTCGTTACAGTGTGGATGTGATGATCGTGCTGAATCCTCTTCAAAGCCCTGCTTGCTCGCATGGGTGTCCTCCGTCTAGAGTTCTGCCAATCCTGTTCGATTGGCAGAACTCGTGTGAAGACTTTGTAGATTACGGACAGCAGGCAGATTGGGCGATAATTGCCAATGTCGTACAGGTCTCCCTTCTTGTACAGCAACACAGTCTTGCTGGTTTTCCACGAGGTGGGTACCTTGCATTCCGACGGTAGCGCGTGAAGAGTCGAGCCAGAGTTTTGACGAGAACTGGCGGCAGATTCTTCAGATGTTCGGGTCTGATCCTTTCGGGACCGGGTGCCGTACGATTCCTCACCGACGAGATGGCATGTC